TCACACCTGTGGAAGTATTCAAGAGAAGGGGTAACCGTTAGTCACGCATGTTGCAAATGAAGTGAACACAGCAGGCAGAGAGTTCAACTGAAGTCACTTTCTTGGTTTCTCAGTAGTTTCGCAAACATTTACTGACCAGCAGTACTGGTCACTGTTCACAGTGACAGGCGACAGGAATAGAAATTCACAGAAGCTCCCTGTTCTCGTTTGCTCCAAAGACTGAAATCCAGCAGTCTCTCATGCTGTGAGTCCAGACACTGTTCTTTGTCTTGACTGCCAAACCCTGACTGGCGAAGTGACGATTCACCATCCTTACAACATACTGTAGTCACTGAAGATTCCCCACGGAACCACCACCTTCCTGCTCAGGCCTGCTTCATCTATCCAACGGGAGGAGGGGGAAGAGACCATTGACCCAGGACTGCCCTGGCGTGCGTGAAGCCCTGAGTGAGGACTGTGGCAACTTCCTGGCCTGCACACACTGCTGCTGCTTTCTTGGTGCCTATAAGTCATGCCTTGTCACCCGTGTGACATTAATCACACAGTGGGGCTCAGAAATCCAGCAGATGAAATCTGAAACTGAGTTGGGGAGGAGGCCGAGTGTGTCATGGTGAGATGAGTCCCGGGGTACAGTCTCGGACAGATGAATATTCTAGATTACCAAGGCTTAGCACTTTAACCAGAGAATAAATACAGAATGTGGTTGTTTCCATGTATTTTAAAAAAAGTGAATTGTGACACAAGTGATGCACTTGTTGGGGGAAAGTTACCATACAGATGGGCAAAACCAAAGAAAAAAGGACATCAATTCCCCCAAACCCCACCACCCAGAGACAATTGCTATTAACATGAGGACATGGTTTTCTTCCAGTGCTTTTCTGGGTGCATATGTGAGTGTGTGTATGGCAGTGCAACAGTGGAATCTCATTGTAAGACTTGACCCTAACACAGTTGTCCATTTAAAGTATATTGTGAATACGTTTCTGTGCCAATACATTTACATGATCAATTTTAAAACTATCTAGCCCTCTACTGGCATGAATGCAAATTTTCCTCAGACTGTATCACGTTTAAAAAGTCTTTCTAAAATACACCACACACTCTCCTGCCTTCCCCGTCTGTTTTCTAATCCAAGTACAGAAACACGACATCGCTTGCTTCTAGGTGCCTTGGGGTTGCTATTATTCAGTGAACCCCTTAGGATGTAAAGTTTCAATAAAGAAGCAGTTTGGTAGAGACAGAAGAGCTCCAGATTAGAAATCAGGGTAGCTCTAGGCCCCTATGCACCCAGGCTCCACACAGTTATGCACAGAACCTTCAAAGCCTTCAGATTCATCACTCACAGGATGGATCCAGGGCGTGGGTCTTTGATATGAGATCACCTTAAATACCTCTGGAGGACCTGGTCACACCAGCAATAACCCTTTGGAGAGGAGAAAGTCAATGGAGGCGGAGAAGGCATGCCTCAGGATCACACCCCAGTTGTTGCTTGAAGTGTAGTTGAGGAGCTGCTTATCTCCACCCACACCTCCTCCTGGGTACACAAAGGATACACATTCCTGGGCCCAGTTCAGCTCTTCCAAATTGGAACCTTTGTGGGTGAAATACCAATAATATGCTTTTAAACAAGTACCCCTGAAGTTTGTCACAGAAAGTTGAGCTCATTGCTTCACTCCTAAAATGTCATTTCTCTTAAACATCTGAAATGGTTCTACGCAGAAAGGCCACCTGTTGACCACTTGCTGGCTGCTTGGCCTCATAGGGCAGGGGGCAAGCAGGAGGCAGAAGAAAGATCAGGATTGACATTTTTCTTCAGTGTTCCACAAGAAAATCATTCCTTTGTGTTTCTCTTTGGCATTTGCAAGTACACACCAAAGATTTGCCTCCTGTGGGTTTTTTTTGGGGGGTGAGGTGGGGTGGAAGGTCCTCCCCCAGCCCCTTCCTCACTGATTCTTAACCCTCCCCTCTCCCCGGATCCATAGTGCCCTCAGATACTGACCCTCTGAGACTGCCTTGCCCCGAGACCCACCACATCCCGGCAGCGAAAAGATGAGAAACATGACTATGAAGCATGGTACCCTTGAATCGACTGCTTCATTCATTTCAGCAGATGTCACCAGGATCCTGAGGGAAGATTGTGCAGATCTGTGTGGTCTAAACAGACAACTTCATGTAGATTGCACTGGATTTATCTTGGCTCTGCCCAGAGGTGATTTGGCTCAGATAGGGAGCCTTCTCATGGAGTGGTTTTGGCCTCTGACAAGTGGCAGAATAGCTGAGTTCAGCCTGACTCTCCAGGAAGGGCCACATCTTGTACAATTCTAATATTTCCTCGAGATCTTGGAATAGTACTGCTATTCACCAAATAATGCTTACTTACTAATTAAACATCTGTTAAACTCTCCATGGATGCCAGACAGTGTAGTAGGTGGCCATATATCAGTATGAATAAACAGTTGACTCATTGCAGATGAACTTTGTTGCTCTTCAGGGAATTAAAATATAATTCAAACTTGTTTAGGAAAATATAATCAATTTCATATGTCATTTAAATACATAATTAAATAGATAAGATAATAGCTATTCACTACTCACTAAAGATCTGTTTTTCATAAGCATATTTCTCATTTAAATCAAACCTCATCTCTGTGAGAGCTGTTTTGATGAAAAACTTTCACAAACAAGTGGCACATTTCTCGCATCTGCTTTCTTAAGCAAAGTGTTCTTGGTTGGACTTTGATTTGACTTTCTCTGTCGTGCATTGTGCTGTGCTGGGCAAATGAATCATACAATTGCACACCCCACCTGGGTGCTCCCAGTGACCCTGCCTGGCCAGGCTTCGGGGCACTGTTTTGGCCCTTTCTCTGACTCACTGTTTCCATTGGTGCCCGTCTGGGAGCGGTTGCCATCCTGGATGACACATACAGCGCGTGTGCTCTCTCTGTGAGTTCTCCTCTTCCGTGCCAAGTCTGCAGACTATCTCCAGCTCAACTCTGACCCTCACACCTCACGCCGTCACCCCGGCTTGTCCTGCCGCAAAGCCTCCTAAGCACCCTACTTGCATCCAGCATCCTCCTCCTGCAGTCCCTCCCTGCAGGCAGCCAGCAAGCTCTTTCTTTGTAAACCACCATTCAGATGATTTCATGTTCCTGATTCCAACCCAGTAGCCTTGCTCCACGACACCGATGGAAGTCCTGACCTCCCTTTCCTGGCCTCTCACTGCCTGATGTGGCTGCTCTAATTCCCTCTGCCATGGTTCACAAGACTGCAGCCTCGTCATCTTCCTTCTCTTTATTTGGACAAACCAAGCTTTTGCACAGGCTGCTTTCCTCACCGGGCTGACTTCTTCTTGCCATGTGGCTCTTTGCAGAAATGGGCCTTCCTGGGCCTTACCTTAGCCCGCTCGGTTGTGCTCTGTTTTCATTCTCTGTGTAACACTGGCTTGGTCTCCTGACCCATCAGTGCCCACAGCCTGCCGTCTGGCATCCTTGGCCCCTGAGTATGGGGAGCTTGTTGACTTGAGCAGCCCCACAAGTTGGGGAGAATTGGGTTATCTGAAGGACTTGATTCTGTCCTAAAGGTTTAAATCTTTCAAGCAGCAAGCAGGGCTTCCCCAGCAACCCACTGAGAAAGCTGCCTACACTTGTCCAGAAGGAGTCTGGGCCTCCTGCCTCCTGCCGACTTGTACAGCTCCTGCTGAGAGAACATCTGGGAGCTGTGAGAGCTGCATTTTTCATGGAGTGCCAGGGAAGAGGGCGACATGGCAGAGGTTCCCAGGCAAGGTTGGGCTTTCCTTGGAGCCATAGCCATGCTAGGGTGGGTGCCAGACCTCCAAGCCCAGAGAGTGTATTTTCTGAAACCCTCCGTACATCCCTCAGAGCGTCTCAATGGATATCGGTTCTGTGGAGCCAGCTGTGGTCAGCACTGTTTTGAGGGAAGAGAATTGATATGGGGGCTGGGTCACTGTGCTTCCCAGCACATCTCCAGGTAGGTGGAGGCAGATGAGTGACCCACACTACATCGACTAGAGCTGGTGTTGGCTGACTCAGGGAACCCAGGCAGGTGACTCTCACTGGAAAAGGCATAGCTCACTTCACTTCTTGGCTGCAGCCCTGCAGAGAAGGTCTGTTCTCAGATCAACTTCACCGGACCTTGGAGGACCTGAAATATGACGGATGGTAGGGACAACAGTTCTGTTGAGTTAGCCTGTGAGAGGCAGAGCAACCCGTCCAGGTGCTGAAATTTGTTGAAGGACTGAGTTGTGTGGTAAGTTCCTGCAAAACCTGCTCTGGGACAGGCAGGACTTCCACAGGGTGAGGAGGCTGGAAATACAGTGGACATCATATGAACAAGAAGGAGAGATGACTTTGTCAATGTCTGACATGAACCTGACAAATCAAATCTCTCTTCATTCTTCAGCCAGCCCTGCAACTAGGGCCAGCTTCTCACCTGGGAAGGAGGGCAAGTGTGTGTGGTTCAGACTGGAGCAGCAGCAGACTCCAGGACAGCATCACAAAGATGCATACACACACACACACACACACTCTCTCTCTCTCTCTCTATATATATATATATATAAAATATATGCATACACACACAAATACACATACACAAATACAAGTACACATAAATACCTACACACACAAATAAATACATGCACACACACATATTTTATCGATCTAGACATTTGTATTCCTGTTTTCCTTCTTTCCCTCCCTCCTCACCTCACTCTCCCCCTCCTTTTCTTCCTTCTTTCCTTGGAAATAGAAATTTCTCCAGCATCACTAGCTGCTAAAAAATCCAAAGCTTCTAAATTTTTATTGCTTACCTGTCCTTTGGTTTGGATGGAATTATCCTAGCCCCATGAATAATGTGCTTTCTATACAAATTTACAACTTTGCATAAAAGCTAAACTTAGTTCTACAACTCATGAAATAAAAGATGTTAGGAAATTTTTTTGTTCTTTTACCAGATAAAAAATCCCAAAGACAAGTGATTCAAAATAGTTTTATTGCAAGCTTATTATTTTAAGGAATCTCCAAAATGTGATGAATTTCCAGAATTCTCTCCCTTCTGAATGTCTCTTTTATCTGGCTTCCTGTGTCCTTCACTAAAAATAACTACACCATCCCTAACACTAGCTGACAGACCCATGTCACTACTCGCTGGGTTTGAAGATCAGTGCAGTCTCCTTTAACATGGCAGGAAGTGGCTTGCTTTCCATGGGGACGAGTCATCTGAGGTTTCCCGAGTGCTCAGCACAGCGATGACTGCTTTTCCTGCTTTGGGATTATGAACATCATAATTATGAAAATCAGGACTGTTAGCATTTGGGAAAAGAGCTTCCCTTTTAAACAATACATGCTTAGATATAAAATTCAAATAATGTGGAAAAATACAGGCAAGAAAGAATATTAGACAGCCTACCACCCAGGAGGGGCTGATCAATTAACAGGTGGCAGAAATGTGGGGCTCATAACCCTTAGAGCCTTGAATAAGGCTCTAAAGACCCTGATTACCTTCTTACCTTCATGGTGGTCACATTTTATTGGCTCAATTTGCTACCAGAAATTATCAAAAATCACCGCCGCACAGAATGCTTAGCTCATGTGGACTTGGCCACCTACTGAAGTGTAAGCTATAGTACAGGAAATTCATGTTATGAGAAGAAAAGAGAATGCCCTGGTGCCCTGTTGTCTAGCAAACATATCTAGGGTCCTTCTGCACTGAGTTGGGCTGGTGGCAGGAGTGGGCATTCACGGCACCACTAGGCCTCACTCCACGCACCTGACCTGGATCGAGGCAGCATTTCCAGGAAAGCCGTCTGCTGTACATCCTTTAGCCTGGGGCTGGCAGCTGCCCTGGCCAGGTTGCACCACAGCCCATGCTGGACCAGAGCCTATCCAGGGCCACTGCTCTGGTATGTTTCCTGGACTGCTGTCTGCCGGCCTAAGACCTCTCCTCAAGGATCCATGCAGGCCTGGCCCACTCACTCTCTCTGTGACCAGATATTACACAGGCTGTGATTTGACAAACTTAGTTCCTCTTGCAATGTTTGCTACTTCCTCTAAGTTCTATCAGAGGCCATCTTTTGTGGTTGATCAGTCAAACCTGCCCCATTACCCTTGACATGTTGGCCACACCTAGTACTCAAATGTGAACGTCTGAGGCCTTCCCAAACCACTGTACCCAAAACATCAGCCTCTGTCCTTGAGCCTCTGGCTTTTTGCATTTTTGTTCATAGCATTTACCTACCCGATACTATTCTTGTGTTTAATTTCATGTTTGCTGCCACCCCACTGGAAGGTAAACCCCGTGCAGGGGAGGACTTGGTCTGGTTTGTTCATCCCTATATTTCCAGCACATCAAAGTGGCCCTTGATAAATGCACTTGGAATGAATGCATGCATGAATGAATACACTACTCCAGATGGGATTCTCCCACTTTGTTTCCAGCTCTCAGGAGCTGCTGCATGCAGAATCCATTGGCTTTGATGAAAGGAGAATCCGAGACTTGCCAGGTGTCTGAGCTGACCAAGGCCGTGCAAATGCTTTCATCTTGTGTCCCGTCTTAAAGGGTTTTAGCAGGAGGTACCGGGAAGTGGGAAAAACTGGAGTTGTGAGGTGGTGGGCAGGAGGCTAGAGGAATGGCTCTGCCCCAACACTGCCTAATCTCTGCTTGCTCAGCCCTCCACCTCCCCTCAGATCCTGACCCCTCTCTTCAGTGTCCCCTGAAAGCAGAGTCACGGTCTCTGTGTCAGGGTCCCCTGCCTGCACCTGTGGCTGCTCCTTGGGGCTTTGACTTTTTGTCACTTATCTAGGTGTCTGCTCTCAAAACCCTGTGAGGCCCAAGAGGCCAGAGGCACCTGTCATTTGTTTTTCTAAGCCTAATGCCCAGGACACAGACGCTCAGGAGACAGATGCTGGGCAATAGGCTTACAAAGTGAACATCTACAGACACACGCTGTCCCCAGAGATCTGATAGCACTGATGCCCAGGAGGCTAGACAGAGGACAGAGAGGGTCTCTTGAGGACCTCTCCTCCTGGTGAGCACTTCACAGCCTGTGCCTTACTTATGGAAGCACAGCCCTGGCAAAGAGCTGGGCCTTGGTTTACTGTAGTGTTCCTGGATTCCTTCTTTCAGAGGCTCTGAGGGCCATGGGGACTCCTCCATGACCAAGCTGTAGTCAAAGCCACCAGGACTGAGTGTCAAGTGGTCAGCAGAGGGACATGCCCAGGACCGCTGGCTGCAGCTGTGTCCACAATGCGTGACACTCAGCTTAGGCTGACCCAGAGTAGGGTGTGGCTGACAGCCCCCAAAGTCACTCTGCTGCAGGGAGGGAAGCTGGGCTAGCACTGCGTCCTGGAAAGCCTGACCCTGAGGACCTCTCCCTTGCTTAGCTAAGAACATGAGGTCACTCTGTTTACATCATAATGTCTCATGCTTCCCAGTGTAACAATTTTTTTAAAACACATTTTTGAATGTTTTCCTTTTAAGTAATCGTGAAAGCCCCTGGTTATAAGCCGAACGCCTCAGACATGCCACACTTGCTCCCGGGGTCCAAAAGGGATCAATTCTAATTGATAAAATCAATTAATGTTTAAAGAACAGATGTAAACACCAGAAGAATTTTTAAAAATAACATAACTAAAACCAGGTGATGGAGGGAAGTAGAAAAAGTGCAGTACTTCTAAAATTCTGTCTAAATCATGAGTACATTATCTCATAGAAGAATAGAGTTCCAGGAGTAACAACAGGATGAGCTAGAAATGGAGCTCACAATGTCCAAATAATCAGGAGGAACACACACATCCAAATCAACATGCAGAGTATAAACCAGACACAAACACAGAAAGCTCGTGCAAAACATGAAGACAAAGCTGAGATTGAGGAGCTCCAGGCTTTGTCCAGGAAGGACCTAGCATTTAAATATAAATGATAAGCTCCCTAAAGGTGAAATAATAAATTTATTGGAAGGAAATGTAGTAGAAATAGAAAAATAACTAATTTTGGGATAAAGAAGAGAAGTATGAATAAGGTACAAGAAACCAAAACCCAAAAAATTAATGCATTAACTGCATACAAAATAGAAATAATCTACATATTAATAAACCAAAAAATTTTAAAATTTAAAAAGTGATAGTGTGAAATATATTTGCATCATATATCAACTTCAAAGGGGATAGTTTCTTTATTTCATGTTATTATTATTAATCCGTGATTAAAAATATCAATAACTCCACAGCAAATGGACAAGGGATAGAGGCAGAAACAGAAAAATAACTGCATCTAATACACAGGGAAAGACGAGAAAAACGCACTCAAAACTGCAGTGAGATGCTCCTGCTTCACCCGGCAGGTTGGGACCCACCAGGGAGTGTGCCTACACCATGAAGTGAGAATGAGCAGTGTGAACCAGCACCACCTTCACCGAGGGCGATTGGCAGCATCTCACGAAGTAAAAATGCCAACACCACGTGCTTGACACGTCCCCATGTAGGGACGTTTCCTGTACGTGTCCATACATGCATGTAGGCTCAGATGTTTATCATAGCTCACCCTTTATCCAATGACTGGGGACAGAGCTGAATAAATCCTGCGCACACACAAAGCTAACCTCACTCCAAAGCATTAACAGAGCAAGGCGACCCTCTACTCTTGTTCAGAGACAGAAGCTAAGTGTAGAACTGTGTATATAATATACTGTGGTCTGTGTAAAAGCCACAGAGAAAACACCAGTCTGTGCCTCTTCGTGATTAGGTAAGAAACTAGCAATCATCTTTGTAGCTGAGAAGTGCTTTCTACATTCTAAAATGCCACTTAATCAATCCCTTGTTAAAGCAATTTTTCAGCAGGTAAGGTCTAACATGATCACACATTCAATAGTCTTATTTTCTAGGTCACTCTCATTTTCAAATATCTTGTCTGATGTTAATGTTCGTATACTCATCGTTGACTAAACACGTGTCTTAGTTTCTGTGTTTAAGGCCAACAGAAAGAGAATGGGTCCATAAGAGTCAAGGGCTGGCATTTCTTTCCTTGAGAAGCTGCCCTTGCTGGCTTATGCCAGAGCATATTTGTTGGCCTCCCTCGCAGGCCTCAGGGTTCTATGCTTTTCCTCTGCTTATCTTGACTTACATTCCCATATTGTTGCCCTGAACAAGGGCAGGTACCTTTGACTTCATGCATCTGAAAACCCTTATTCAGACAGCTTTTGGAGAATGAACAATATTTCAGTAGTCAGGCCTTTTTCCCATGCCTTGTCATTCTAGCAACCCGGCTTCCCTCCTTACCCAGGGACGACACAGGATGACACAATGCTTCTGTTTCAGCTGGGTGGTCCCAAAGAGCTTGAGAAGCCCAGCAAATGGATGGGTAAATTGGAGACCCGAGGTAAGCCAGGTGAGGCTGGTGAGTCTGCAGCAGCCGGGTGCCTTCAGTTGATAGGTGGGGCTGCATGCAATGTTTGTAATGTGAATTTTGCAAGCCTGTTCTGACATTTTTAACATTTATTTTGCAAACCTGCCTCTCTGGATTTCTAAAAACTCTTTGGGAACTATTATTATTTGGTCAGATCATTAAAAATGCAAGGGGAGGGTGCAGTGCTCTAACCAGTCCAACTCAGTGGCAGATGATTTTTTTGGCTACTATGGAAAGAAATATTAATCTGAGATACCAAACTCAATATCAGATGCAGGCAATACAAAAGGAATAAACAATGAAAAGGACATACCTGTCCTGCCAGGAGCTGCCCCTGGGGATAAAGGGCTCACCACGAATTGCCTCTGCCCTCTTATTAGACCATTGTACAGCCTCATGAAGCAAGTGCTATCCAAAGGACCACCAGGATGGCTAGGTAGTAGAAGAGAGGGTTTTAATGTCAACATCAGTTTGCAAACCAAAACTGATGGAGAGAGTTTCCAGCATGAATCAAAAGTGCTCTCTCTGAAGAACAAAGAGAAGCTCAGAGGTTTTATAAAAAGGAGAAATGCTATGCATTACTCTTTGAGAAATTTCACTAGCACTAGTGAGGTTCTGAGTAGCTGGCAAGCTCTGACAGGGAAGTAACAGCTGTGGGCAAAGCTAGTCTGAGAGTTGCAGCAGGTCATTTCAGGAGTCCTAGATAAAACTGGTTTCAGGCTACTGCAGGCAGTTTTAGCTGCCAGGCCTATAGAGAATTACATTTTTGGAATAATGTATTGTGCCCCGAGTGCTATCCCCACTGGATTCTTGGCTGTGTTTTAGTTGGATATGACAAGAGTGGCCCAATCTGTATGCTCAGTTTTCACAAAAGGAAAACTTTTCTTGCAAAAGACAAAGCGAAGATAGACTCAGCAGAGCCTGTTCTCAGCCTTCCTGTAGGACCAAGCGCAGTTGGAAAGAATTTACAGGATCTGGGATCTGAATACTTCTGCCTGGCCTTCAAGGTTCTCCCTGGGCTTCAGCCCTTAAACCACCTTCCCCCTTAGGCTTCTTGCCTTCCTTCATTTATCCTGTCTTCACCCCCTGCCCCATTACCCTCCTTCTCTCGGAGACCCTGGGTGGAGTCTTTCCCACTCCCAAAGTTTACCCGGGTGTTTCTTGGGCTCTTTGCCAGGCTGAGGCCCAGGCACGTCCCCAACACCTTCATGGTCCTTGGTTTTGCCCTGGAGTACCCACCTGGGTACTGAGGCCACTGGAGGTTTTCATGTCAAGTGCCCATGAAGCTGGCTGTGCTGTCCTCAGGACAGGGCAATCTTCCTGCTTGAAACCCATTGTGATAAAAGAAACGATGGGCTCAGTGGGCAGGTGGGGTTTGCATGCTGCCTTGACCTTGGAGGGGCCACTTCACTGCCTCCTGGCTCTCTTCAGCAGAACAAATGGAGAAAATAATGGGACAAAGACCGGGCTGAGCACAAGGGCAGCCACTCCCTTCACTGACCTGTAAACCAGGCAGGGTAAGCAACGGTGTCTGTGGGTGGGGCCCTGGGTGCAGCTTCCCTGTTCCCACAGCCCCAGCCATAGGCCCCTCTGCTGCCACAGTGGGCTGGTGGTTTCTGCTCTGAGCTCTGGTATTCAAGGTAACATTTCGAAAGAGGGTTGGAGAGCCACACCCCAAGAGTTCACGCCCTGGTGCGGCCCCTCCCGGGTGGAATCTGGGCCGGGCACTGACTCACCCCTAACCAGCAGAATAAGTACCAGTAAACGGTGTCTGTTTCCCGCCGGCCCGCAAGAGGGCACAGCTGCTGCTGCTTCTCACTGGAACACTCATTCCTGGGAGCCCTGAGCCACTCTTCTGGAGAGGCCACAAGAGAGGACAAGAAGGGCCCCTCCACCTGGTCTAACCTCCGGATGACCCCAGGCCCCTGTACCATCGAACTTAAACTACAGGAGAGACCCCAAGAAAGACAGTGGGAGAAGTGTCCAGCTAAGCCCCCATCCTACCCAATCCAGAGAGGTGACAAAATGGGTGTTAAGTCACTGAGATTTAGGGCAGTCTGTTAAATAGCAAGAAACAACCCAAACAGAACCCCAAGGCCTGGCTCTGTCCACCTCTGCGGCTCGCTGGTTGTGGGACCTCTGGCTGGTTTCTTAACCTCTTGAAGTCTCAGCTTTCCAGCCTGTACAATAGGCGTAGTCCTGCTCAGAGCGAAACTCTGCACATCAGAATTAGTGCATAATGGCTCTTGCTGTAATTCATGTCCACAGAATTAAGAGACCCTGAACAGGAAGTTAGGAGCATTTCTGCCCCTACAAATGGCTTTTCCTTAGATGAACCAGACCTGGGAAGCTACAAGTCCAGGGGCCCCCTATAAGGCGAATGTGTTACGTGCATGAGCAACGCGCTTTCCCTTCTCCTGGGAGCAGGGACGCACTCTCTGCCCCACAGTGGGTAGTGGGTCTGCGGCCCAGAGCCTGTCCAGTCCCCTCTTCCTCCTCCTCACACTGTCACCCTCCGCAGTGATGGGCCACAAAGGGCACAATCCACCCAGGTTTGGGAGCAGCAGCCCACGTCTGACTCACTGACATTACAGGGTATTTCCTTCAAAAATATGGTTTCTGTGCAGACATTTTGTGTGTATTTATATTTTTTGAATTAAACTGTGGTAAAATACACATAACAAAATTCATCATCATGACCATTTTTAAGTGTACAGTTCAGTAGTGTTATATTGTTGTACTATATATATTCAGTGTACATTGTTGTGCAACCCATCTCTAGAACTCATTTCATCTTGCAAAACAGAAACCCCGTGCCCGTTAAACAGTAACTTCCACCCCTTCCCACAGGCCCTGCCAGCCACCCATCTGCTTTCTGTCTCTATGGAGTTGGTAACTCTAGCGCCTCATTTAAGAGGAATCCCACAGTATTTACCTTTTCATGACTGGCTTATTTCACTCAGTATAATGTGTTCAAGGTTCACCCTTGTAGCTTGCATCAGAATTTCTTCCCTTACAGAGGCTGAATAATATTCCACGGCATGTTTGTGCCTCACTGTGTTTACCAGTCACATGCTGATGGGCATCTGGGTTGCCTCCACCTTTGGCTATGGTGTGTAGTGCTGCTATGAACATGGGGTTACCAAGGTTTCTTTGAGACACTAATTTCAATTCTTTTGGGTATACACCCAGAAGTGGAATTGCTGGATTAAATGGAAATTCTACTTTTACTTTTATTCTAATTTATTTTTATTTTTTTAAGAACCACTATATTATTTCCCATAGTGATTTCACCATTTTACATTTCTACCAATGGTGCTCAAGGGTTCCAAGTTCCATACATGCTCATTAACATTTATGACTCCTGGTTTTTGTTTGTTTGTCTAATAGTACCCATCCTAATGGGTGTGAGGTGGTATCTCAGTGTGGCTGTGATTTGCATTTCCCTAATGACTGGTGACGCTGAATATCTTTTCATGTGCTTATTGGCCCTTTGTAAATGTCTATTCGTGTCCTTTGACATTTTTAAAATTGTTTTGTTGTTGTTTGTTGTTGTTCAGTTGCAGGAGTTCTTTATATAATCTGGACATTAACACCTTAGTAGATACATGATTTGTAATATTTTCTCCCATTCAATGGGTTGCCTTTTCACTCTGTTTATTATCATTCATTGTCCTTTGATGCACAAAACATTTCAATTTTGATATAGTCCAATTTATCTGTTAGTATATTTACTCTTGCGGTGCCTAGTTTTGGCGTTATATCACTGCCAAATCTAATGTTATAAAGATTTTCTTCTATGTTTTTTTCTAAGAGCTTTATAGTTTTAGGTCTTATGTTTAGGCATCTGATCAATTTGAATTAATTTTTATATGATATGAGGTAAGGTCTAACTTCCTGCTTTTGCATATGTATTTCCAATTTTCCCAAACCATCTGTTGAAAAATTTACCCTTTCTTCATTAAATGGTCTTGACATTCTTGCTGAAAATCAAGGGTGTATTTCTGGGCCCCCTATTTCATTCCATTGGTCTGTATATCTATCTTTATTCCAGTACCACAGTGTTTTGCCTACTGTAGCTTTGTAATATGATTTGAAATTAGGAAGTTTGAGTCCTTCAACTTTGTTCTTTTTTTCTCAAGATTGTTTGACTCTCCAGGTCCCCTTAAAATTCCATATGAATTTTAGGATGTATCTAGCTACTTCTGCAACAAACCCCTTTGGGATTTTGATAGAGATTGCATTGCATCTGTAGATCGCTCTGGTTAGTTTTGACACATTAACAATATTAAGTCTTCCAATTCATGAACAAAGGCAATCTTTTAATTTCTTCGTTTCTTCTTTAATTTATTTCATTTTTTAAAAAAATGTTTTGGTGTACAAGTCTTTTTCCTCGCCGGTGAAGTTTATTTCTATATGTTTATTCTTTTTGATGCTATTGTAAATAGAATTGTTTTCTTAATCTCCTCTTGGAATTGTTCACTGTTAGTGTGTTCTGTTTGCCCTGACTGGCGTGGGGAGCATGACCTAGCTATGTCTGTAAGATCTGAGAACCCTCCCTCTGAGCAGCTGGAGGAGCCTGGGACAGCCCCCTGGGATAGCCTTGGTTAGGCCACAGTTTTCCAGAACAGACTCACAGCCAGGGAGGTCAGTTGCTCACAGCACCCATTTGATAACTGGTTGATAACCGGCACCACAGGAGCTGGCTGCTGGCTCTGCTTTCCTCCCTCCCTAACCAGTGTCTGTGCCTTCCAGTGGAGGGCACTAACCTTACCATCTCCACCTGCTGATACCTGTGGGCGTTTAAAGTGAGTTTGCATCATATCAATGATGCCTGCATAATACAGACACAATAAACTGATACGGATGCTCCCTAAATCCCAGTTAATCTTTTTCTGGCCTTAGCCTGAATAAGTTGAATTGATAGATAAACAAAATTAACAAAGAAAAAAATGTGCTGAAATCCTAATGCAGCTCCTTAGAAAACAGTCCTAAATACCCCCACCCTGCATCCGCTGGGATGATGAAGTTCAGGGAGAAGCCGGTGGGCCTCCCCTTCTGCTCTGGAGGCTGAAGCTTTTACTGCCAATGAACGTGTCTGGGCCCCTCTAGGGCAAAGACAGCTATTGGAGCGGGAGGTGCAGAGGAGACCCACCCTCCATTGTCAGTTTCATCATTTGGTCTCTCTTGTAAACTTTGCAGCCCCAAAGGGAAGCCGTTTGGGCGTTGGAGGCTGGAGAACCCTGGCCCAAGGCACCTTATCTGTCGGCACACTTCTGGAGCTAGGCCCGTGACCTCACTCCACCCATGACCTTCCCCACTGACTTCACAGTTCCTGGAATTGTTAGAAAAATCCTTTTTAAAATTCGAGGAAGCCCCATTCCCCTCAGTGCTGCTGCTCATGCATTGAGAAAGAGAGAGGTGGAGCCAGGCTGGGGGCTCTGTGATCCTGGAACCCCCACCTCTGGGACCTGGGGCTGGGGTTAGTCTCTATCTTTCTCTGCTGGCCCTTGGTTCCGAATGTGGAAGCAAGACCAGACCCTGCAGATAGAGAAGGTTCTCGTGTTCTTGGCCCCTAGCCCGCCAAAGGAAAACCTTTAGCTTAAGGGACTGTCTACCTCCTTAGAAACACATCCCCCTCCACACTTTTCAATATGAAACCCAGAAATTCAGAAAACAGAAAGGAAGAAGAGAAATATTAAAAGCCAACACCTTCCCAGCTCTCATGGTGGGCCTGAAACTGTGCATAGGGCGCTACCTACAATTACCTCATTCGATTCTGACAGTAGTAACCCATAAGACAGACGTTGCTGTTACCTCATTTTACAGATGACACGCTAAGGTGCGAAGCGGCTGCACATCTATGGCCAGCCTCATCGTCTTCAGGGATTTATTCAAAGGTCATTCTGAATTGTAAGGTAGCCACTGCAGAACACGAGCCTTTCCTGGGTATGTGTGGTAAGTGCTTCATAAATGCTGTTCTGAGGCCAGGTGCTAACGGGGACAGGGCAGACGAGTGGTAGATTGAGCCCCGGTCCCAGGCCTAGTTCTGCAGCTGCTGGAGGAGCAATCCATCAGTCTGCTCCAGGTCCTGGCCCTCTCCTGGGAAACAAGTCCTTCTGCCATATGAGCTCCCTGACGACTAAATGGGACTGCGTTGCAGACTTAGTTGCTGGACACACATGATTTTGTCACCTCTGTACTAGTGTGACTGGGACCCACCTTCCAGGCAGAATAAATCCATGCTGAAATTGACTTGATGTCTGTGCTGTTATTCTTGGAGAAAAAGATAAAAATCAGGAAATAAATATTGCATAAACCACATAACCGGAAAACACCCAGAATAATCGTGCTGATGATATGACGATAAGAAGCGGGGCCTTCACAAATAAGGAAAAGGGCCGTGGTAGGATGAGCTGCTGCTCGTCTAAGAGGACAGCTGCTTGTTTGGGCTGAAGTCTTTGGGATTTTTGAGGACCTGGCCAGTCATTTCACGTGCTGAAAGGATTGTGAACCCCGTTCTAATCATGGCCAGATTATCAGGAGATTCTTGAGGTTTGAGGTCAATTTAAGCTCCTGGACACCATGTAAGCCTCACAAATATAGTCACTGCCTATGGCAGCTGACCTGGGAGATGCTTGTATGGCTGAATTCTTCAGTTATCACAGAAATAAATACCAATTGGTGGAAAAAGAATATCGTGCTATTCTCTA